GCCTTGTGGTAAACTGTGGTCAATGACATGAGACAAAGTATATGTGAACTGCTGTATAGAAAGTGAATTTGCTCTATAAATCTTCACCCAAATCACAATAAATAAAATAAATAAATAAAATAATAAAATAAATTGCCTGCTAAGAAAGAATTCAAAGCGGAGGAGTGATAGGTTCAAATCTGCGCTTAAGAAAGGAGGCTTTGGAAGAAGAGGGGAGCTGAGGGGGAATGAAAACAGGATCTGTAAGGTTAGGAGGAGGCTACAGAAAACACGCAGGGGCCTTTGGAAGGATGATAGCAGGCAGAAGCAGGACTTCGCATCTTTCAGTGCAGGATAAGAAGGAGCGAGAAAAATAAAGAGAAAAGGATTGTATGGCCAACTGCTTTTGTAAGCCTTCCGAAGTGTACCTGGCTGGCTGGGATGGGGGACCCTCGAGGCGCTTCCGTGGGTGGGGGTGGAATAGGGCTCGAGGGCCTGGCAGGGGGTTGAGGGCGGCAGGGGGGTGGGGGACGTTGGCGTCTTTGCCCAGCCTGGCTTGCTTTTCAAGCCTTCCATTAAGTAGACCAGCACAGCAGGAGCCCAGCCCTCAGGTACTCAGACTTCGGTAACTCACTCCTAAAACGGCTACAGGCTCCTCCTCTTCAGTAGAGTTGGTTTAGATCCTCCGGAATTGTTCCTTCCTGTACTTTAAATTCTCATCTAGTTTAAAGGAAGGTCTGTTTTGTGTAAAGCTTGTTGGAGGGTCCAGCACCCTTTGACAGGATGTAGTCTTCTTGCCTGTGGTTATCCCTTTGTTTTACATTAACACAAGGAGCTCTGATGGTGTAGTGGTTAACACATTTGGCTGCTAACCAAAAGGTCTTAGTTTCGAAGCCACCAGCCACCCTGCAGGAGAACAATGAGGCAGTCTACTTCTGTAAAGATTTACAGCCTGGGAACCTATGGGGCAGTTCTACCCTGTCCTATAGGGCCACTATGAATGGTAATCAACTCAAAGTAGGTTTTTTGTTTTTTTTTTGGAGAAGGGGAGGTTGAAGGGATGGGAGGTTCCTCTGTCAAACTCATACAAACAGACATGCAAGCTAAACACCCCTGATAGCACTGACATGTTAATTGATGTGGAGGGTAAGGCATTTGGCTGCAAACAACAAGGTTGATGGTTCAAACCCACCAGCTAGCCTGCAGGACGTTGAAGAGGCAATCTACTTCCTTAAAGATTTATAGCCTTGGAAACCCAATGGGGATCATTAGGAGAATAGACACAATGACAGTAGCCTTGGTTTGGTTTTGACCTATTAACAGTTTTGAAAATGTTTAAGTTGTCCTCCAAAACACACCAGTGGCATTGTTTTCAAAATTAAATATACTTGAAGTGGGCAGATCTTACGAAGGACCAGAGAAAGATCTATGAGCATTTTCATAAACAAAACAAAACAAAACAAAACAAAACAAAAAACCCAAACTCACTGCCATCAAGTCAGTTTTGACGGAGGTAGATTGCCCAATCTTCCTACTGAGGAGTGGCTGGGCGGTTTGAACCACTAGCCTTCTGGTTAGCAGTCAAATGCCTTAGGCACTATGCCCCCAGAGTTCTTGAGCATTTTCATAGACAATTCAAATGTGAGATAATTAAAATATAAAGAACACTTCATGAACAAAACTATTTTAAAGAAGCAAACCACCAGTAAGTGGTATCACATTCCTACCTTTGTTGTTGTTAGGTGCCATCGACTCAGCTCTGACCCATAGTGAACTTATGTACAATAGAACAAAACACTACCCAGTTGTGCACCATCCTCACAACCCTTTCGATGCTTGGGCCCATCATTGCAGCCACTGTCAGTCCATCCTGTTGAGGGCCTTTCTTTTTTTCACTGAGCCTCCACTTTACCGAGTGTGATATCCTTCTCCAGGGAATGGTCCCTTCTGACAACATGACCAAAGTAAGGGAGACGTAAGTCTGGCCATTCTCACTTCCAATGAGCATTCTGGCTGCACTTCCTCTAGGACAGATTTGTTCATTCTTCTGGCAGTCCATGGTACTTTCAGTCTTTTTTGCCAACACCACAATTCAAAAGCATCAACTCTTCTTTGGTCTTCCTTATTCATTGTCTAGATTTCACATCCATATGAGGTGATTGAAAATACCATGGCTTAGGTTAGGCATACCTTGGTCTTCAAAGTGACATCTTTGCTCTTCAGCACTTTAAAGAGGTCTTTTGCAGCAGATTTGCCCTGTGCAATACGATGTCTGATTTCTTGACTGCTGCTTCAATGGGTGTTGATTGTGGATCCAAATAATATGAAATTTTTAATAACTTCAATCTTTTCTCCATTTATCCTGATGCTGCTTATTGGTCCTGTTGTGAGGATTTCATTTTCTTTATTTTGAGGTGTAATCCATACTACAAACTGCAATCTTTAATCTTCATCAGTAAGTGATTCAAGTCATATTCACTTTCATCAAGCAAGATTGTGTTATATGCATATCGTAGGTTGTTAATGAGTCTTCCAATAACCCTGATGCCACATTCTTCTCCATATTGTCCAGCTTCTCAGATTATTTGTTCAGCATACAGATTGAATAAGTATGGTGAAAGGTTATAGCTCTAATTCACACCATTCCTTATTTTAAACCATGCAGTATCCCTTTATTCTGTTCAACTGACAACCTCCTGGTTTATGTACAGGTCCCTCATGAGCACAATTAAGCGTTCTGGAATTCCAATTTTTCTCAATGTTATCCATAATCTTTTATGATCTATAGAGTTGAATGCTTTTGCACAGTCAATAAAACACAAGTAAACATCTACCTTTCTTCAGGGTTATTGGGGGAGTAAGATAGTGTAATAGCCTTGTGCATCAATAGATCCTAGCATGCAATATTTCTCCAGTGTCATTAGCACCTTCTCTCCAGAGAATATGATAGAGCATCACCATTGTTTTGTGAAATAAAATGTCTATGGTGCATTGCGATGCCATTTGAATGCAAATAAAAGAGGTAGAACATTATATAAATTTCCTCTGAAATGTTTTCTTTTTTTCTTCTGTTTTTGATGTGACAGGTAAATGGCAGGCAAAAAACGAGGAGAAGCCCAGTTGCAGGTGGGCATGACACATCAACAAATCTTTTCCTTGCTGTGTTGGTATTTGAAGACATTTGATAGCACCTTCCTTTTTGCAGGCCATCATCACTAATCAAAGCCTGTGGGATGAGATGATGCTGAACAAAGGTCTAACAGGTAGGGGATGCCCGTGTGTCCCAGGGCCCAGGGCACTCCATCACACCCCACCCAGAGTGAGATTCTTTCCATGGAGTATGATGCCCTGCTTTTGCCCTCATTACCCTCTCCTGCCTCAGGACTGAGATAAGCTGCTATTTTAGGTTCTTTGCTCTGTTCTTTCATAAATATTATCATCTTCCAGTGATTGACGTTTACCAAGCCTGGTGTGGACCTTGCAAAGCAATGCAAACGTTATTCAGAAAATTGAAAAATGAGCTGAACGAAGATGAAATTCTGCATTTTGCTGTTGTAAGGATTTCATTTCCATGATCTATTGTTCTCTTGTTACTCTAAGTGTATTAAGTAGCCTTTAAAACTTTAAATATTGTCTTAATTTTAAAAGCCTTCAAAATAGACTATGTTTATTAGGCAGTTTTATTATATATTAAGTTCTACCATAGTTGAGATTGAATGTGATTTTTGTCCCTTTTCTGTGATGTTGAGGTGATTTACCATGATTGTGAATGTTAGAAAAATATGAAAATGGACACTTGCCCATTGACCTGTTTCCTTTTACCTGACTACATATTCAATGTGTGTCCTTTTGAATAAAGTCTACATGTTCTGTTTCCTCAGGAGCCCTGGTGACAAAATGGTTAAGTGCTCTGCTCTTAATTGAAAGATTTTTCTCCATGGCAGAAAAGTGTGGCAGATTGTGTCCATAAAGATTACAGCCTCAGAAACCCTATGGGGCAGTTCGACTCTGTCCTGTAGTGTCAGTATGAGTTGAAATGGACTCGATGGAAATGAGTAAGCTACTTACTGGATGTCATTGGGCAGAACTCTGGGCACTTATCCAGTTACCATTTTTCCAATGGTGGTGATTTCCTCCTCACTTGGATGTATCTCTCATATGTGACAAGGGATTAAAAATGTCACAGCCAAACGTATTTGACTCCATTGTATTGTATTGATTATTCAACTTGACTACATCAAATCACCAACTGATCAGAGCTTTGTTATCTAATATGGTGGTCACTAGACACAAATTACTATTGAGTATTTGAGATATGGTTAATGAAACTGAGGAACTAAATTTTTAATTTTAATTAATTCAAATTTAAAAACTAATATTTGATGCAGTTATTGAAAAATTTAAAGTTTTTTCGGACAACATAAGCATCAGAATCAACTTTCTCAGCTGTAAATTTTATGAAATCTAAGTAAATTTCAAGTATTTCTTTTTAAAATTTAGAATCTGGATAGAGATATGCTGTAATTCTAATATAAACACACAGGCCTTTGAAGACTTAATACCAAAAAGAGAATGTTACATGTTGAAATGATAATATTTTGGATACATTGGGTTAAGTAAAATATATTATGACATGTTTATTTAAAAAAAAAGCTTTTTAAATGAAGAAATTAGAAAGTTTACAGGTATATATACATTACCTTTCTACTGAACAAACACACCCAAAACAATTAGACATAAATGCAAAAGCAGATAACTGCTTGTTTATTTTTACTCTTTGTCCCTAAAACATAGTCCCTGATGCAGATGTGACCTCCAGTAAACAGGTCTTCCATGACCCCACTCAACCTTGATCTTGGGATGAGGTTTTTTTTTTTTTTTTTTACCGAACGTTACTTGTGTTTGACTATCCATACCCTTCCTGCAGGTACATTCTTTAGAGAGCTTCTTTTCCTTAGTTGGAGGTTAAGAATAAACTTGCCAGCTCACCTCTTATCATTTTTCTGTTCATGTGAAAAGAAAGTAGATGGCTACACACAGTAGTTAAATCCTTTGGTCCTGAGCAAAGGCATTGAGATTGTCTTCTGCGATAAGGGCCTTGTAGTTTTCAACCAGCTTCATCCTGTAGAGTCAGGGCAACCTGAAAGGAGTTGGGGTGAATCTAGATTTGATTACAGTCAGGAAGGAAAAACCAAGTGGGCAGAGTAGATGGCTTAGAGGGTATGTTGTTGTTGATAGGTGCTGCCGAGTCGTTTCCAACTCATAGCGACCCCATGCACAGCAGAATGAAACACTGCCTGATCCTGCACCAGCTCCATGATCCCTGCTATACTTGAGCTCATCATCGCAACCACTATGTCAATCCATCTCATTGAAGGCCTTCCCCCTCTTTTGTCAACCCTCCACCCTACCAAGTATGACATCCTTCTCCAGGGAATGGTCCCTTCTGATAGCATGACCAAAATAGGTGAGACGAAGTCTGGCCATTTTTGCTTCCAAGGAGCATTTCAGACGCACTTCCTCCAGGACAGATCTGTTAGTTCTTTTAGCAGTCCATTGTACTTTCAGCATTCTTCACCAGCACCATAACTCAAAAGCATCAACTCTTCTTCGGTCTTCCTTATTCATTGTCCAGCTCTCACATGCATAGGAGGAGATTGGAAATATCATGGCTTGTGTCAGGCACACCTTAGTACTCAAGGAGACATATTTGCTCCTCAGCACTTGAAACAGTTCCTTCGTGGTTGACCTTCCCAATGCCACACATCATCTAATGTCCTGACTGCTGCTTCCATTGGCATCGATTGTAGAACCAAGCAATGTGAATTCTGTGACAACCTCAATCTTCTCTCCATTTATTGTGATGCTGCTCATTGGTCCAGTTGTGAGGATTTTTGTTTTCTTTATAATGATACTTAATCCATACTGCAGGCTGTATTCTTCAACCTTCATCAGTAAGTACCTGAAGTCATCCTCACTTTCAGCCAGCAAAGTTGTATTGTCTGCGTATCTCAGGTTGTTAATGATTCTTCCTCCAATCCTGATGCCAC